CAGGGCGTGATGTCACAGGGCTCTGGGAGCAGGGACTTCAGGATGTCCCCGGGGAGGTGGCCCCAGGACCAGCTGGTGCTTCTGAGAGCAGTTTTGTTGAGTGAGGGGCCCAGCGTCCTGGAAGTCAGAGGGGGTAGGGTCTTCTGTCGCTGTTCTACAGATGGAGGGACGGGTCCGGAGAGGACAGGTCGGCTGCCCCCACAGGAGGTGCCTGCTGCGGGTCGGGAGCTGCCCAGGTGGAGGGCCGGGGACGCCAGCCAAGGCGCAGGGAGTGGCTTCTCACGTCAGTGATGGCTTACAGGGGCCAAGGGAAGGTCAGGGTCTCTGGGGAGCCCAGCCTGGGGCTTTCCCCGTGGGGCCCACGTCAGCAGAGCATCACCGCGGGGCGCAGCGGGGCCCCTGGCCTCCTGACCCAGTGGGCGACGTGGCCATGGGACTTCCCCTGGGACAGGCCCCGTAGGAGGGGGCGAGGGGGCACTCGGAGAGGTTGCCCTCCTCCTCGCCAGTTCCTCGAGCCTCACTTTGTCTGTCTGCAGAATGGGGTAATCACGTCCCACGCCTTCTAGGGCCCCTGCAGGCCTCCAGTGGGCTCATGCGGTGGGGCGTGTCGGCTGCCCGGCTTGGCTGTAGCTTCCTCTGCTGAAACCCCATTCAGACCGCACATCCCCAGCTGAAGCCCGCTGGCCGAGGAGCTTTGCCTCTCTGGGCCTCAGTTTCCCCCTTTGCACCTGCCTCTCAGTGCTGAAATACCTGGGCAGCCCCAGAGGGGACGTGGGGACAAAGCAGATTCCCCAGCACTGGGTGTGTGTGGCGGACGTTGGGTGGATGTGAGTTCTGGGGGCCAGGGTGTCCGATTTGCCATTCCAGCCCACCTTTGGGGGGCCACAGAGGCCACGGAGGTGTGAAGGCTGCCCCTCCCTGTGGGCCAGGTCCCCATGTCTCCTCCGTGTCTCCGTGTGGGGCAGGCAGTGTCTCTCCGATCAGCAAGTTGGTTCTAAAGCCACCAAAGAGAAGTGGCCATGCTGGGTCACACCGAGGTTACTTGGAGGCCTCGAGGCTCAGATGCGGGGTCCTGGCTCTCGGGGTCTGCTCTGGCTCTCGTGCCCGGGACCCTGCGCTGGGGCGGGCCTCCCGAGGACCGAATGACAGCTGATGGTGGGCGGCAGGCCCTGTGAGGCTGGCGGAGGGCGGCTGGGCACGGAGCCTGTGTGTTCTCGCTGATCTGATTGCGGCCTGACGCGTGCGAGGGACAGAGGGTTCGGCCGGGGTCCTCCCCGTGGGCCGGGGCTGGGGAGCAGCGGGCAGGGCAGCGCCCTGAGCAAACACAGCGGGGGCCTCCTCGGCTCTGGGCCGCCTGTCACTTGTCACGGGGCCAATTGTCTTGGGAGAGACCCTTGCTGTGGCCGCTCAGCTGGCCTCCTGGGGCCGAGCGTGCGCCTCCAGATGCCAGGAGAGCTGCGGCTGGGTGCCCTTCACTGAGGGCCTGGAGGGCCGGAAAAAGGGAAGGCCATTCGCCCCTGAGTCCACAGGACAAGGACCGGTGGCTTCCGGCCTGGCAGTGGCCACTGTCTGGGCCCTCCCTCACCTGCCGTCGCTCAGCCTGTGGCTGGGATGTGCCTGAGGCACGTTCTCTCCCCATCTGGCCCTGGGGACCCTCTTTCCCGGAGTCTGAAGCCATCTGAGCGAGGGATCGTGAGCCTCTGGCTGTCCGGGCCTCGGCCACAGGCCCTCCCAGGCCCAAGGGTGGTGGGGAAGGAGAGGCCGCCATCAGGCGAGTGGACGGGAGCTGCAGAAACAGCCTCTGCCCGCTGCCCCCGCTGGGTGGAAAGAGGAAGGGGCCAGGAGTCCGGACACAGGGCCGGCCCGCCCTTGCGCTGTCCCTCTCTGTGTCAGATGAGGGGCGTGCAGTGACCTGTACCGCGTCGTTCAGACCACCTGTGGGGGGCCAAAGCACGCTGGACACGAGGAAGCCCCGACATGCGCGGACACCTGTTCTTTTGAAGGACTGTCCCTATTTCGAAGCAGATGTGGGTTCCAATCTTGGCCCCGCTGTCTCCTACTTGGGAGCCTCAGTTTCCTCTCCTGAGAAGTGGGTGAATGGTTGGAGGGTGGGGAGTAAAAGCATCGTGGCAGAGCAGCAGAGCTGGGCGCCGGCGCCTCCTCCCAGGTCAGCCCGGTCCCTCTGCCTGGGGTCAGAACCTGTCTGTGTGCCTCGGTGTCCCCAGGGCCAGCGTTGTGAGGGCCCTGAGCTGCGCGGGGCTCGCCGTGGGAGGCTGGGGCCCGCGTGGCTGCGCTGGGGAGGGGTCTGGTGGGCAGATGCTGTGTCCACAGGGCAAGGGGTGCCCGCCCGCCCTGAGCCCTGAAAGGAAGCCTGGCCTCGCCGGCTGCGATTATGGTGAGGAGCTGTGTAATTAACTCTAAAACCGGGAGGCTGAGGACGAAATAAAGTGGATGCTTGGCGGAAACTGGAGCCGGGTGACCTCAGACAGCAGCGGGGCCAGGCCGAGGCCGAGGGGGGCCGGGAGGGTCGGAGAGCCGCGGAGACCCCGGAGTGCTGGCGGGGGCGGCGTGTTGGTGGCCGCAAGTGTCGGGGGTGCTTAGGGCAGCGGAAATGTGTTCTCCTGGCTGAGGTGTGCGCCTGGCTCTCTCGGGGCCCCTCCCAGCTTCCGCGGGTGCGCCAGCCGTCGCGGGCCCTCCCGGGCACGCCCGAGCCCCTCGGCTCCTGGCCCCCATCACCCTCGGTCCGTCTGTTTAGGCCTGTTTCTCTGTCCGTCTTTTTTCTCGTTAAGTTTTTGTTTTATCGCGATACAATACAGGATGTACAAGATTTACCATTTTAACCGTCTGTGTTTTATTCATTCATTTGTATACTTATCATCGTTAAGGGATGTATACTTATCATTTTTAAGGGAGAGAGAGTGCGAATAGGGGAGGGGCAGAGAGAGAGGAGAGAGACTCCCACGCAGGCTCCACGTAGACGTGGGGCTCCGTCACACAATGACCTGAGCCCAAATCAAGAGTAGGACACTCAACCGACCCAGCCCGAGGCGCCCCCATTTTATCTATTTTTTTTTTAAACTTTTTTTTTTTAATGTTTCATTTATTTCTAGGAGAGAGAGAGAGAGACAGCGTGAGCAGGGGAGGATCAGAGAGAGAGGGAGTCACAGACTCTGAAACAGGCTCCAGGCTCTGAGCTGGCAGTCAGCACAGAGCCCGACGTGGGGCTCGAACCCACGAACCGCGAGATCATGACCTAAGCGAAAGTCGGACGCTTAACCGACTAAGCCACCCAGGCGCCCCCCATTTTATCTATTTTTAATATGACCCCGTGCGTCCCTGACAGGTGTCACCTGACAGTCACGCTGTCATTTCCAGAACTTGAAGCTGCATCCGACCCTGTGGGACACTGACTCCCCCTCGCCCCGGCTGGCACTGCCGTTCTTTCTGTGACTGCCTTTCTGGGTGCCTCGTGGGAGTGGACTCCTCGTGTCTGTCCTTCCGAGTTTCGATGCTTCTGGAATGGCAGACAAGGCTGTCCACCCCAGTGGCTGTAGCTATGCAAATTAGGTCGATTAGAATAAAATTTAAAATGTAGTTTTTTGGTTGGATCAGCCTCATTTCAAGTGCTGGGGGTGGGGGGGCACATGCATCTAGTGACTGCCCTACTGGACAGTGCATACCCTGAACTTATCCATCCTTCCAGAAAGTTCCGTGGGGGCATACTCGTGTAGGCCCCTGGGGATGAACGAGACGTGGCCACTAATATCACATCTGAGCCCGATCGGACCTTGGGCCTGAAAGTGTTTTGCTGTCAGACATCTTAGTCGTGCTTTGTCTGCTGAGGAGACGGGAGTACGAGCCGTCTGCAGACCAGGCGTGGGGGAGCTGCGACTGGCCGTGCGCAGGGATGCTGGTGCTGAGCTCGTGGAGGGGGTCTTCTTGTCCTTAGGGGCCACTCGGTGTTTGGGGGTCGGGGGGGGTCGTGTCTGCGGTTTGCTCTCGATGTTCAGAAAACACTGTGCACACACAGAGCCGGTGTCGGAGGTGAGCCGTGACCCGTGCCGGCCAGGACAGGGGGAGTGGCCCGGTGGAGGGCGCCGGGGTGGGTGCTAGGCCAGGGTGCCGGGTGCCTCGAGGGCGTTCTTCCAGGCCCGCCCTCCCCTCCGTCTGTTCGTGCATCTTTCCGGTGGGTAGGCAGCGGCTTTGCGGTTCTCTTGCCGTGCGGTCCCTGGGTCCTTAGTGAATGGTTACTGGGGGGGCGGCCAGCGTGAAGTTCCGGCCCCTTCAGCCACATGTCGCCAGCCTTGTCCCCGAGACGCCCTTGCTGACTGGATTGGGCGGCCAGTGGCCCACACAGGGCGGCTCACTCCGTGCCACCGCGTTCAGGAGCCGAAGCCGCTGTCCCTGGTCCTGCAAGTTGGAATCGGTGGACAGGATTCGAACCTAGGGCCGGGACAGCTCCGGATTGTGCCCCAGCCCCAAACCTCCAGCCCCGGTTGCTTTGCCAAGCCGAGTGTTGCCGGGTGGAGATGCCCCGATGCTGGCCCGGGAGCCCCAGCCCTGGTGCGCCCCCTGCCTCCCAGCGTGGCTGGGTTGTGCCCCTCCTGGGGTCCACCACGGATTCCACGGGCGGTTCCCGGCTCTTGGCTTCATCACACCTACAGTAATTGGGGCGGGCCTGTGCCGCGGAAGACGTGTGTGTGAGTGTGTCAGTGTGAGTGTGTGTGTGTGCGCGCACGCACGTGTGTTCACGCTCTGGTTTTGCTGATTCGGGGCCATGTTTCCAGTCACGATCGTCAGCGCTGGATCTCTCGGGGCAGGGGTGGAGGACAAAGGGTCACGAGTGGCTGGGGTGAGCCGGGGGGCTGTGACGCTTGGCCCGGCGGGACAGTGGTGAGGCTTCCCAGGGCAGGAGTGTGCGTCTGTGGCGGCACCTGCCGCTGTCGTTACCGCTCTCCTCAGACCCCACGGGCTCAGCGCTCCTCTCTTCTCTCCTCTAGTTCCTGTGCTTGAAGAACATTCGCACCTTCCTGAAAGTCTGCCACGATAAGTTTGGACTCCGAAACAGCGAGCTGTTTGACCCCTTCGACCTCTTCGATGTCCGAGACTTTGGGAAGGTGAGTGGGCTCTTCTCCGGTGTCCGGGGCGGTGGCCGAGTGCCGGCTCCATGTAGGGCGTTCCGACAGGACGGGCCCTCGCAGGAAACCTCCACAGATCTTTCCGGAAGCGCCACAGGACGGGTTATGCTCAAAGGCAGCGGAGCAGTCTGGCTCTCAGCATATGTGGGGCAAGGAGGGGGTGATTACCCGAACCCCCAGGTTTCCTGGAGGTGATCCTCTAGGCCCGGGGCCAAACAACTCAGAAGTCTCCCTGTTTTCTCAGAAACATCCTTTGTCACCTGTCCCCGTAAGCCCTGTCGGTATGGGTGAAAAGGTAGTGGAGGCTGGGCAGGTGCGAAGGCTGGAGGCCGGCGGACATTTAAGCCCATTTGTGAGCTGGCTCCCCGGGTAGCCTGCCTTCCTAGTGGCCTGAGATGTCACCTGCCTTTTGAAAGCACATCTTTGGGGATGGCGAGGGTGGGACCGTGCTATCGTGTGATGGATGGAGGCCGACGGCTCGAGGGTGGACCTTGCTCTGTGCTGCCTGCAGTCGGGGGTCCCCCGTCTCCGTGTGCTCTCGGAGGACAGCACTGGGGGCCCTTCCCTCGGCCGCGCCGCACGGGCTCTGTAAAACAGCCGCTTCCCAGACTGCCCGAGGAGCCCCTTTCCACCTGCTGATGGGAAATACCAGATATTTATTGCTTAATTTATCTGAAGACCATTATCGGGGACTTGGTGTTCGAGGAAACGTTCTCTGAATATATGATTTACGAAACGCAGGGAGAATTTTATATTTGTAGTTTCAAGTGCTGAGAAGTCCGTTCCAAGAGGAGCCCTTACTTGAGGTGCCGTAAAATGTCAGATTACCGTCAGTAGCTAGGACTTTCCCATAAGCCACCTGGCCTGATGGGGCTCCCTTCCCCCGTTCTGAAATTCTCTAGAAAGGAGATTCGGGGACCGGCTCAAAAGCCCATCTCTGTGTGATCGCCACATCGTAGAGGTTTCTGTTCCCCCTGAAGAGCTCGCTCAGTTCACTGCTGCTGATGTGCTCCCTGTGCCCCGGGGCGCGGGGGCTGGGGCGCGGCCCTGCGGGTTTCCTCTCCTGTAAGGGGGCTTCCCAGTTCCCCGGGGCTGCCTTCCGGTGGACTCGATCTCCTCTCCCAGGACACACGCACGCGGGCACGCCCTCTGCTCCTGCGTGCACGCTCACGCACATACGCTGCTCTGCACTAATATGCTTTCATATGCTTTTGTGAATACACACTTGGGATCTCACACACACACACACACACACACACACACACACACACACACAGCCGGTATTTAAAATAACCGTATGGAGAAAAAGGGAGGATAAACTTCAGCCAAATTCATTTCTTGGCGGGTAGTTAAAATGCAAATGATCCAGGCTGCAAATCCGTTTCGTTTTTGATTTGCTACAGCTCAATGCAGTGATGTACGACATACATAAATTCGGATCAAACTCTCATCCTACGACTCGCCAGCCGTGTGGCCCTTTGCCCCTCGTGCTCATTGGCGGTTCCTTCCAGGCGGCTTGGCTTCAAAGTGGATGTGCCGGGGGCACCCGGAGGGGCTGCCCGCGTGCGCCGTGCTGGTCCCTGGCGATGCTTCGCCACACTGCGGCATGGGCTGTGGGGACCCAGGGGTGGGCGGTGGTGCCGGGAATGCACGTGGTGTGATGGCTCAGACCTGAGCTGCGAGCCGTGGGCCTCGGTTTGTGCCCTCAGCTCCGGGAGGGGGCAGGACTCAGGGAGCGCTCCCCCACCCTGCCTCTGCTTTCCACGCGTGACCCTCGAGTCAGACCGCTTGAAAATCTGGCCCTGCTTACTGGCTGGACCCCTGGGCAGGTGACACGGTGCCGCTGACCTCGGTTTGCCTGGCTGTGAAGGTGGCGTGGTGCCCAGCCGGCAGTAGGTGCTCCTGAAATGGCGAGCCTGTGTCGCTGTCCGCCCCCCCCCCGCCCCCCGCCCCAGGTTTGGTCGGGACAGAACTAGAGCCTCACAGATCAGTGGCAGACCTCTTACTTTTTCCCTCTGTTATTTTACTCGTAAAGACTTACGTGTGCGTCTTTGGAAGACAGGGCAGGCGGCATGCGCGCCCTTGCGGGCGGGGTCTGAGGCCGGCGAGCGCTGTGCCCGGGCGACTCCGTTCCTCCAGCCCTACCACCGGCTAAAGTCTGTTGAGCAGAAAGTACGACTGGGTGTGTGGAGTGCTTGCACCCGGAAGCTCGCCCTCATCTTCCCCTCCCTTCTCCTCGTTCCTCTGGCCTCCCTCTGGCTGCGTGGGGGCGCGGGGGGCACGCGGGGCTCCAGGCAGCCTGGCCTGCCTTCTGCCCGCTCTCCCTCTGGCTGCGCGGCCTCCTTACCTGGCGCGTGATCCTCATCGAGGTAAACCCGTGGGTAGGAGCGCCTCCCAGCTGGGGGCCGCTGGGACGTGCTCTGCCCGTAGCGGCCCCGGTCCCTCCGGTGTCCAGGGAGGGGCCACCCTGGAAGAACGGATCAGCAGCAGAGCCGGGGCGCCTGTGGCCCGCTCTGCTTGGGGAGACACGCGGGGACTCTCCCCCACCCCGGGCCGTGGCAGCCGGCAGCCCGGGGCCTCCCAGCCCGGTGCTGATACGGGGCAGGTGTGGTTGTTCATCCGGGTGTTTTCTGAGATGCGCCTGGGAAGGCCCTTGGGCAGAGTTCCCTGGGGCCCAGAGACAGGGCGGTTTCTGTCATCTCTTCAGGGACGTTTACCGAGATTTCCCGTGGGCCAGGGCCAGGATGCCACGGCTCTTCCAGATGGGCCTGGTGGCCGTCAGTGACGTCAGACCGTGAAGATGTGACCGCTCTCTGCCCTCCCCCAACCCCCCGCTGTTGGCCCCGGAGGGATGAGTCCCGGCCAGCAGGGAGGCAGCGTCTGTCCCGCTACTGAACGCCGAGCTCTGTAGGATCAGAACTGACCCTTCAACTCCTGGGTGGGCGAGGCGGGGGTGGGGGTGGGGGGCACAAAAGGACGGACCTCCATAGCCAGGTGATGCTGCCGACCAGAACCTTCTAAGAGCCTGAGTTCAGAGTGATGCTGAAGCGAGTTCAGGGGCACGGGCTTGGGACTGGGGGTGGGGCGTGGGACCAGGGACTGGAGACGCAGCTTCCTCTGTCACCGCCAGCTGCTTGTCCTCCTCTATGATTCATGGCGTACGGGCGGGGAAGGGTCCTTAGAAGCTCGTGAGGCTCAGGCTGCTTTGGAAATTTCCAGGGTGTTTTGTTTTGTCTTGTTTTTGTATTATTTAAGAAGGTTTGCGGTGTTCAGATCCTGTCTCTGTCCTGGGTTTTGTTCTTTCTCCCAAGTCTCCAGCATTGTTGGGGGTCATTCCTTCTGGAGAAAAAGCAGGTTCGTTCATTCATTCATTCCTCCACCCACCTGCCCATCCATCCACCCACCCACCCACCCCCTCATCCATTCTTCCATCCACCCATCTACTACTCATCCACCCATTCACCCCTCCATCCATCCATCCATTTACCCACCCACCATCTGTTCACACATCCATCCACCCACCCATCCACCCGCTCACACCTCCCCCACAACTCACACATCCATCTACTATCCACCCATGTATTAAGCATTACCACACGTTTGTGGAGCACTCGCTGTGCTAGAGATGAAATGGAGAGAAGTACATGGCCTTTGCCTCCCAAGGGGGAGCCTGGATTAGGTGTCGTGCCATCAGTGGTAGAGAAAAGGAGAAGGTGAAGACCCTGGAACTTTCCCAGGAGCTGCCCGGCTCTGGCCTGTCAGCCGTGACACTGGAGGGTGTCCCCTGGGATGGGGCTGTGGGGAGGGTCCTGTGCAGTGAATGCACGGCTCGCGTTGTTAGGGGAAGTGCTAACCCCCTCTCTCCGGGGACACCGCGTGGAGCCGGGGCTGATTCCCAGGATTTTCCGTGTGCAGGACCAGCCCCTCCCCACCTCCCCGCCCGCCGGCTTCTCCTGCGGCCCCTCCCCTGGGGCAGAGCGGGCTGAGCAGGGCACATGCAGTGGGGAGCCGGGTCTTGGGGGCCCTCGAAGCTTCAGAAGGTGTCTTCTTAACCCAGGAGGAGCACTGGGAGGGACAGGCCGTGTTGGCTGGGGTCTCTGCTCCCTGGCTTAGGGCGACCGGACAGACCCTCAGCAAAGGCCCCAGTGGGGTGGTGGGTGGGGCGGGTGGAGCCCTGGGTGTAGCCAGCCCCCGAAGGAGCAAGCCCTGCTCACGGGAGGGAAGCCAGCCAGGCCGGTCCACTGTGCCTTCCTTCTGGTACCTTCTGTCATGTGATACTGATGGAGCGAGGCGATGGAGGTGGCCGGCAGGAGCGAGGGGCTTCCTGTTCACCAGGCTTGGGTGGGCTCTGGACTTTGCAATTATTCGGGCCCCCTGGGCTTTCCTTTCTGCGGGGAGAAAATGAAGACAGTATGACCCAGCATCGTTACGAGGAAGGAGCGAGGAAGCGCGACTCGGGCCCCAGTTGAGTTTATCAAGCGTTTTGGCCCTCTTCCTGTCGGTCATCCGCAGGCTCTGGCAGGAACAGGAGGATCCGGAAAGATGGTTCCAGAAGCCTTTCCTTTTTCTGGTTGCTTCCCTGGTATTTTGGCATTAAAGGGACTAGGTTTGGGGCGTGAGCCTGGGGAATGTGGGGCTTGCTGGTGAAACCCTACCACACATGGACCCTTCCTCTGTCCCCGCGTGTCCCCGTCGGAGGCACACGGCCCAGCGTGGGGACAGGTGCCCCACATCACACCACTGCCCTGGCCTGGCGGCTGCTTGGGAGGCTTTGGAAAGAAGAGCCTGGTGAGACTGCAGTTGCTGTGGCTTTTCCTTCTGGCTTTGCGGGCCCTGGAGACTGCAGAGTAATCATGCAGAGCGACAGCCCCACCTCCTTGCCGAGCGCTGACCCCTGGGGTCAGCTCACCCCATCTTCCGGTGTCCTCACCCCAGTCACAGGGTCGGAGGCCAGCCCCAGCCTGCACGGAGCCGCAGAG